AGATATACACAAAATCCTTTGTAGCAGAAGTTTTTATAATGTCTTTTTTATAGACTGAGCTACCATGAGTAATTCCACAAGAAGCAAATGAATATTCGGAAAATGTGCTGACGTCATGTTACCTTTTAATTGAATTCGTCGGGCTGAAGATGAGCTGAGAGGAGTGGCCTGGCCACACAGTAATCACACACGCACACGTATACTTACACGCACATGCACACGTATATCTACACGCAGACATGGTATATATACATAAAGATTGGACACACGCACACACACAAATATATACATGTGTGTGTGTGTGTGGATGTGGATGTATTTATTAAATCTTTGATATATATTAGTTATACTAAGAGGAGTCAGAATTCTAGTAAACTCAATAAAAACTCAATATTGTCCCGTTTTCTTATTTTTTTCTAGGAAAATTTCTCTTGCGTTTTTCCTCAACTCGAAATCTCTGAGAAGAAGAAAAATGTATTTCCTTGAAAAGAAGAAGGAAGTGGATGTTTTGAGTATGTCCACTATGAATATAAGGCTTGGTTCCCACTAAGAGGAAATTCTCTCCCCTGTCTTCTCTCTCCCTCTCCCTTCCCCCTCCCTCCCCCTCCCCCCACACCTCACTTTCTTTCCTTCTCTCCCCTTCGTCCCCTCATCCGCTTCCCCTCTGCCTCCTGTCTCCCCTTCTTCTCCACCCCTTCTTCCCTAGTACATTTCTACCCGTGGCTTCCTCTCTACCCAAGGGCCGCCACAACGCGTTCATGGTTTTCAGTGTTTGTCTTTGCGATTAGCAGCTGAGGCGAAGGCGATAATGGACGTCGTAATGAATCCGTCATTAAATTGAAAAGTTTGAGACCCATGGCGGCTTGAAACACACCTGCGAAAGACAAACCCGTGAATGGGCCGTCTAGCGGGAAGAAAGTGCGGAGGAAGGGAAACGAGGGTGACACCCGCCCAAGGCTATGTGGCCCATACACGCGCCTGTGAAGACGACGCGTTATGACCTATAAACACGTCGCAGTTTATCACGGGGAGGCATATGGGCGGAGGAAATCGTGGTAGATGAAGGAACATAGAACTACTCGTCGGACAGTGACTGGGTGCTTGTTATCGAAGGGGGAGAGGATAAACAAACTGTGAATCCGGGGATCCGGTACTACAAGAACGGTAGTGTCTGTTACGCTTCTGAGGCGCCATTTTGTGAACGAAGAGTAGCATGTTTCTGTTGTTGTTGTTTTTTCTTACTCTTATTGAAGGGCGACCGTCGTAAGTTTTTTTTTCGTGGGACATCATTCATTCTGACAGCATCAAAACTTGCATTTTCATTTACTCCTTCGTTGTATTGCTTTGACTTGCAGATTAATGCTTCACGCGTGTCAAGCTTGACGTGATAAACACCGATTTATGCAATGCCGAATCCGAAATGAGTTCCTACTAACGTGTTCTGATTTTTACTTGGAAGGAAAAAAAGGCAGTAAACCATCCCTCGCAGATTTAATTAATCGTTGATTTAATCAAGGCCTTTACTCGTCTTCAATTCAGGTAACCATTTAAAAGCTGCAGTAGTTGGGGACCTTCCGTCTACTGTAAATAGCAAAGGTCAGGGAAACCGAGGAGGATGGAATTGGCCAAGGTCGCGGCGACTCTCTTGGGTGACATTTATGACCACTTCGTCACGCCACGAGCAAACTCAACGGGAAACGCGCTGCACTTTCATTCATGTATATTGTATGAACGTAGAAAATCGTCTCCATTGTTTGGACTCGCATGTTTATTCATCTTGTCACATTTGCCATTGGCTTTGATTTGATTTCTGTACATTTTTTTAACGTTTGTTGTCTATCGCTGAGCTTCCGTTTTGCTCGTATGCTATCTCTAATTCCAATTATCTCTACTGCCACCCGCAACCCTCTTTACCCGCTCCACTTCCCCTTCTCCTCCCTCTCCCCCTCCCTCCCTCCCCTCCCTCTCCCTCTCCCTCCCCTCCCCTCCCCTCCCTCCCTCTCCCTCTCCCTCTCCCTCTCCCTCTCCCTCTCCCTCTCCCTCTCCCTCCCCCCTCCCCCCTCCGTATGTCTACCGCGACCAGCGCCAAACTGACACCGGAAGTGACCATGGTTCCGGAGGCGTGTGTCCTGGCGTGGCAGGGAGGAGTTCGGGAATGTAGTTCATGTTTTAGAAAACGTATCGGCTTCTCGCTCGACAAGGCAGTGTGGTCCTGTGTTCATCCATTATATATTAGCTCGGGTACTGTACATGCTACAGTTTCAGATAGCATTTCCCTATCCAGGAATAAAAGGTTAAAACGCGGCGGAATTGTGCCTGTGTAGTGTGGGCAATTTCGACGTGTACTTAAAATTGTTCAAGGCAGCCTAAGCCTATGTCCGCCGCCCATCCGCACTTCCGCTCAGGTCTGGGCCGCGCAGTCACTACTCACGCCTCTCTACTTTTATTTCGCCGCCCTCAATATACCTCACTATCCCTCACTATTTCCCTCGCGCCCGTCCACATCCACACGCAATGTGTGTTTATGAAGCTTTGTATTCCTAGCTTCAACTATTTCGACAGTCAACGCAGGAGAGATCTTCCACATCTTCACGTATGTTCGTCGCGCTAGTATGGCCGTTCCAATGAGCGGTTCTAACAAAACGCGAGGCCGGAGGGAGAGGGTGAGGGGGTACAAAAGACTCGTTAGTGAGTAGACTCGAGAGTAATATGAAGAACAAACTTGTATCGTTTACGGTGTTACTGCATAAACCGTGGCTCCGATTCCAAGTCTCCAGTCTCAGAAGTTGATGGAAAAAACAACTGATGTTAAAAATAGATTAAAGTTTAACGAATGACGCATCTCGAGAAATGCGATAATGGAATGAACTACACTTCTCCACATGCTAGAAGTGTCATGTCTCAATCCCCTTGATCTGCAACTATAAAAAAAAGTATTAAATAGTGTTGACAGGGTTACAGTTATGCGTCACTGTATGGTTTACTCTATTATCTTTTAAATGATTTTTGGAATGGAATATTTTTTAAATATTCTCAACTATATTCTTAACATCTACACAGGGTAAAATGAATTATTTAAACATTCCTGGTGATTTTACAACGAATTTTATCTACAAAATTTCAGGGTTATCAGTCATGTCATTCTTGTTGGGAGTAAACAAGCTTTGTAAGTTGTAGTACGCCCCACACCCCGCTATCTCTCCCCCTCCCTCTTTTCCTCCCCATTGTGTTCCAAGTGTGACCTGACTCCGAAGCCTTGGTGGGTAAGTGAGGTCCCCATGGAGGATGTGTACCGTACTTTCACCTCCTGCTCATCGTGTGAAGTTCTTAATCCTAAGGGTTTGGCGTTTACTGTTGCTTTCTGTCCTCCCTTTCGAGATGTTATAATACAAGGCGTGAAACGATAATTATGATAACGGTAGGAAGTTTTTTTATGGGAAGCTAAGATTTGGATACAATCATTAAGAAGCAGACATGCTGGGAAGGGATGAGTTGTATAATGTAGGCGTGGTTGGTGAACGTCAGTGCTGGGCAGTGACCATGCGGGCCGTTTTATTAGCCTTCACTGATGGCAATGACCTCGTCTCCAGTGCAATCACTGCAGCGGTGATCCATGACTGCGAGGCGGACCATAGGTGACTGGCACTTTCCCTTGTATTGTGATTTACTTGCAAATGTCATTAACTGTTCGCAATTTTCTATTGATTAACGTTCACTGTACATTTGTAACTAGTAGCACTTTCGGGATAAATATATCGACGTTTTTTTAAATACTAGTTATCGTTATATGTTAGCGGTTCAAACCTAGACTAGGAGGGACTTGTACAGGTACATCAGATAATTCTACCGTGTTGTATGTCAGAAGAGCTGCCTCTGCCGGCCAACAAGTCCGATTTGTTTTCCGTTAGTGACCACGTGACGGCAATCCCACGGGTAGTGTTACCAACTCTATCCCTCCCCCCTTTAGGGTGTTATCAAACACCCTTACCTTCTGGTGTTTACGGTTTAGTTTGCATTCAGTCAGTCTCCCCGTGGGATCTGCAAACTGGTCGCTGTAGACAGGTGGTCGAGTTACATGATCCGTAACAGTAAGGTTGATTGCGCAGTCACTGCAAATACTTTTCCTTTTTGCTCGGATTGGTGTGATACCCTTGCAATCGTAACAGCACTTGACTTCCCGTTCTGAATGTACAGTAGCCGCCTCTAGATCTCTCATATATCGGCACAGTTAAGAAAAGAATTAAATGTTAGTTAGTTTCCTTGTAGCAATCCACGTCAAAAGGCAACGGAACTCGCCGGGAGAAACCTGGTTAGTGTGTGGTATGGTCACTGGTCGAATAGTGGCTTTTAAAGGGGGGCGTGTATGGGCGCGTGTCGTCTGGCGTGCGGTTATCCCTCCTATCATGTGGTTTCAGAAGGGAAGAAGACTCTGTGTTGCATGCAACTTGATACAACCTTTCGGGTACTTGTTGGAGCAATGTCGGGCCGCTGGCGTGAAGCAATGAGCTCGACGCGGATTTCACTTTAGAGCGAAATCCTCTGAATCACCTTAACGTTGAAAGGTTTATGAGATTTGGGGGAACTTTCGAGGAAGTTTCTTGTTCATAAGAGCGATGTTGCTAGTCAAGAATTTGTGTGACAATGCAGATGAGGAAAGTACTTGTGCAGATGGAGTACGAGTCTTGAAATAGGGGAAAAAAGCACGGAAAGTAGGCGTCCATGACACGGCGCCCGGCCGCTTAGCTTTCTCTCCGGGCACCGACTGTTGGCTAAAATTTATTTTCCTGATGACAAAAATTGTTTGGTACCGTTACTGGAAACTTAGAATTCATCTTAAATAGACTTTCTATATAGACCTGTTAAACGTTTTCCTCCCAATTACCTTTTACTTGCAGACATACTTGTAAATGACCTTTCTCATAGCTGACATTAGTTTTATTGTGACAGATTGTGTTGAGTAATTGTTACATCTATAAATAATTATTTTTTTCTCCTTACAGGTTCGTGGTCGCTGGGCAGGCCGACCAAACCTGGACTTAGTGGCAAAGAAGTGCAATTTAGGCGACTGGTTCTTGATATACCACCTCGGGCGCAATATGGAACCCATGGTGTATGGCGAGTTCTTGAAGGAGTTTGCCAAGGAGTTGGAAAATTCAGTCTCGACGCTGGAACGCAAGCCAATGCTAGTTGGTAGTTAATAGGAAGCTTGCGGTTACTTTTTTTTGTTATTAAGAGTTTGTGATTGAAAACTCGAGCCATTCAGTGTCAATTTAAGTGTATTACTTTATGTCGTAAGTTTTAAGAAGATTAGAAAGAAAGGGAATCGATCTTTTGTTTTTGTTTTTTAAGTTCTTTTAAAGATGAAATAAATAATAGTGAATTTATTTTTAAATGAATGAAAATTCACGGACACATGACTCCTTTGTATTTTTGTATGATCATGTGAAGTAGCAAGTTTGATATAAAACTAGTTGATGAAAAAAGCATTAGGTGTTATATTTTTTTACAAGGAAGAATTGTAGGTGTTAATGACATAGACAATCAGTCCAATACTGTTACCTGGAGTGAGTGAACCTTTGACAGGGTTGGCTCACCTGCACGTGATCTAGCTGTTACACTATGTACATAACCATGTGCCATGCTGTTGTGTGAAGTTTTGTGATGAAAAGAAGCTGAGAATTGTATTGTGAATGGAGTTGCATTGATGGTAATGCTGGGTACAGTGTTGAAAAGGATGATTGTCCTCTATGTAGAACTAGGACTCAAAATCTGTCATAAGCATCAACTACATATAGTAGATAAGTTGTCAAATGATTGTATTCCTACTTTGACAAGTCATTTCATTATGGCTTTGATGAGCATATTGTTACTGTATATTTTTGTAGTGCATTCTAATTAATTTATCTTTTAAAGATAGTTGCCTTCTTTGGGCAGTAGAGATATACTACAGGAACATGAGTCATTTCTTGGATCTCTGTTAATCACAATAAGTACATTGATCAAAGTTAAGAATGTGTAGAGAATTTAACAAATACTGCCGAAGAAGTAACTTGAACGACATAGTAGGGAATAAGCTTGATTGTAGATTCTTAGAAGCATGTGCTGCTGCTCTCTAGCTGATACTGTCCAGAGATGCAAATAAGGCATGGATGTGCCATGGCGTGACTGGAGGATGTGATTAATACTATACAAATTCACTATGTGATAAACAGTAGAAAGGTATTGTATAATGTAATTACTGTTATATTCTCTCTTTTTTCTCAACAAGAGCACTATGAAAGACACGTTTAGAGATTTTCAATTTAGGCCTAGAAGTAAGATGTCATGCTTGTTAATAGCTGACATTGCAGTTAAAAAGAAGTGCCTTAAAAAGAAATTGCTCAATGTGTGATGGCAGATTTAAAGGAAAGATGCACATAATTTTGTGCTTTATCTGAAACAAGCAATGGATGATTTTGTAATTTCTGTAATTGTAAGGATTTTTTTTTTATTTTATTATTATTATTATTATTTTTTAAGTTCAATTATTTAGAACCTATAATTATTTTAGTATGCTTAACATGAAGCATCAATTTTGATTTAATTTCAAGCAACAATTTATTGTGGTTCTTATTTCAATGGATTTGTAATTTTAACTCGTGTAACTGGATGATTTTATACATTTATTTCTGATGGAAACTGTTACTACAAAAAGCAGTTTGCCACAAAAAAGGCAGTTACATAACATGGTAAGAAAAATTTCTTTTGTCAAATAAAAGAAATCTGATCTTGTTTTTTGAACCACTTCCAGTAAGAGTTGAAATATGTAGTAGAAAAGAAAAGTATTGATTATTTGCCCTTACATATTGCAGGTGTTTTACAAAACTACATTGAATATTTAAAAAATGCAGTTGGCCAAAATGATGACATAGGACTGCAGTCTTGCAAAATTTTGTAATTCTGGGGTGAATAAAGAAATTCAGCACAAACTGTATTTTTATATTAACCTTTACTTTAAATTGAGTAGTTGTTTTAATTAAAAGAACAGAAGTAATAAATTATTTTATTATTTTCTGTATAAATCTTTTATATTACATAAAAATATGGAGAAATACCATTCTGTGATAATCCTCATGACAACTTTCAGGGTTCTTTGATTGTTAGAAAGAATGCAGATTTATCATTTCACATCACAGTAAATCCTTTCAATAAAAAAAAAAAAAATCAGTGATTATGCATTACTATACAACTTGTAGGATTGAAATATTCTTAAACAAAAAAAAAAAAAAAAAAAAAAAAAAAATCTCCCTTCGCATTATATATTTATCACATATCACTATAAACTTAAAAGACTTACAAAGCATTGGAAGATTCAATAATTTTGCCTCTTATCAAAATATGCTTCACTGATCATTTATCGTATCTTAATTGTGACAGGGTGTTTAGCTTAGTAATTTCCATTCATGAGCCTCTACAAAAAATTGAAAGCAAAAGATTAATCATTAGAATTGCCTCATCTTAAAAAATAAATAAATAAATAAATCAGGTTACTACTAGCACCAGTGTAAAATTGTAACTAATAAATAGAATATGTAAAAAATATGATGTAATATACATGCGAAAGATTCCTAGCTTAGCAACTTTTCTGGGCTGAAAATTCGAGCAAATACATTTTCTTATAACATAATTCATCTTATTTGACAAGGACAACTAGGGATAACCTTATATTTACACTGGAAATTATTTTGTAGAGTTTTCCCTTGATCAAATTATTACTAATCCTTCCAGTAGTACAATGTTTGAAATGTGATAATTACTTCCATACATCATAAAAGGTACCATAAGGAAAGAGAAACAGTGACTATGATTCTTTGTGGGAGAGGATTGTGACACAAGTCTCATTAGTATCCTAAAGAAGACTAATATTTATAATAATTTAATTACGCAGAATACTTGTAATGTTTTATTTACTGAACTTTTTCTGCCACGTCAACATCTAACGTCATTAGTGGTGGATTCAAAATAGTGATAGCAAGAGGCTTCATGGCAAAGTCTCCAGGTAAGGAAGTGCTATATGACATCAAAGGCCACATGGCACTATGGTAAAGTGGAGTAGCAAAAAGGGTTAGGAACGAGTTTACTGTAATCATTAAGTTAAAGGTTGAACAGTAGTAGAGGGTAGTATGGTAGTGAAAAGGGCAGAGAGTGGGAGCTGACAGAGTATTGTGTAAGATAAAAGCTGTAAGAAAGGGAAGGAGTTAAGGGAGTTGAGAGCATTATGTTAAGGTATTGTGGCAGAAAATGGCAACAATTAAGCTAAGTCAACAGAACAAGGGGATGAAGAAAAGGAAGAAAAGACCAGGAAAAAGTAGTTGAGGCAAGGGCTGAGGACCAAGGTAGGGGTGGTTCCCCACTTTGGGCCTCTGCCCCGTCTCCTAAGCTCCCCCCCACGACAACGAGGAGCAAGGGATTGGGGGGGGTTATTTATGTAATAATTATATATACTCCATAATATTTATGCTCTGATATTTTAATATCTTAATCCCACAACTAGTGTTAAATGGATCAGGCAATTAACAGTTGAGTTGCCTGTCTGTCTTGATGCTGATCTTGGAGTAAGAAATGTCAACAAAAAAATAAAAAGTAAAGAAAATAATAATATTTGACATCTGTTCTTTCTCCAGGGGCTCTTACTTTTTTGACCTTACAAGATCCCTCCCACCATAGAATGCTGTGATTATCTACAGTAACTTCAGTAATTTGCAATGGAATCACAACCCATAGTCACCTGAAGCTTCTTGTAATACAAAACATCCATATAAAGTATAAGGAAAGCTTTTATTATTATAATGATAAAAAGTGGATTTAAATTGATAAATTATGTAGATATAATTGTGTTTTCTTATTCTTAATTCTTGGAGTGGTTGACATAATACTTTGCGCTGTGTTCAAGACACCATTCAAAATCTCTCTTAGCATCCAGGACAAGTTGTTAATCTTGTCCATCTCACTGTACTCTCCTGGCTGTAAAGGTGGGTGAGATGATGACACAATAGCATTTGTATACCAGCAATGATAATTGCATGCACTATCAATAACATAAGACTTTAGTAGGTACTGGTAATTTAATAGCCCTTTGTTGTTGTTATCAGTTATTTTTGTTTTGTCAATTGCAGAGACATTACCTATGCATCATAGCTACATAATATATCTAGTTTGAAAAATGAAGATACCAATATAGTAAAAGAGCGACTGTTGATTTTAGAGCTGGCTGTGCTGTGGGTGATGAAGGCTCCAGAGGGTTCTGAACACAGCCTCGCTGTCCTGCTGATCCTGACAAAACTGGCTAAGTAAGACAAGCCATTCTGCATGAAACCTTTACACCCAACTGCAGAAAAACAGTTGTGTGGAACGACTCACAATATTTTATATCAATAAAAAATGCCAATTGGCCAATGGTATCATCTCTTCTGACCTGCTGGGGGAAGATGTATATTTTTAATATAATATCACCCTCCCCACTTGATAGTAACCCTTTTTTTTTAATATAACCCACTTGAACAAATTGCAACCTAAATCTTCACAAACTTTATATACACACTTTATATCTTGCCATTCAAGATACTTCTAAATCAGATTATTTCTGTTAATGTGTTATTGGAAAACTTAAAATTCCTTTAGTCAGTAATTTAAGTTTTCCAACTGATGAGAGACTATGGGACTACCTATGTATTACAAAAAGCTTTTTCAATGACTAGAAAAAATAGTTACAAATGGATGTTATTCAACAGGACCTGTGAAAGGGAGTCATACTTAAATTTCCATTAGGTATATGGTAGAGATTTTTCAGCATAAATACATAAGCACATACATATACAAGTGCAGTCCATACTTGATGCAACCATTTAATTATTTAATGCCCAAAAAACTGTGCATTCAGTCTCAAAACAATATTCCACTAGCCATAAAATTTGATACTAGAAACTTAGTATGCCAGATGAATTGATCTTTCATTTAAACAAACCATACTTGAGACTTCTAAAACTAAGAGTAATAACATATTTTCCTGAGTTAATATAATGTGTGTGTCTTCCACTGACTGGAACACAACTCTTGTTCAATAGTGTATCTGGACTGTAAAAGTTTGTAACCTTGAGGCTTGTCACAGGAAAAAAGTTGTGCAAACAATAGCTTTCATGTAAATCAGTCTTCTCAGCTGCCTATTACAGAACTTAAAATTTATCAAGCTCTGATATTTATCATAGAATATAATGCATATACAGTCAGGAAAAAGTAACATGAATTGTTGTGAATATAAATCTTGGATAACATACTTTCACATTTCTACAAACAGTAAAAAAAAGAAAAGGTAGTAAATTATTAACTTTTAAAAAATATATGAGCCATAAAAATATTTCAACAAATTTCAAATGATAAACAAATAACTATATAAGAGCAAAACTCTTCGTACCATCCACAAACATTACTAATAATATCTGAATTGCATCCTGTACAGAATATCAACCTTCACACAAAGGATATTGGTGTCCCATCCACATACAAACACGCTTCCCACACGCAACATTTAAAATATTATAATAAAAAAATAACAACTGCTAAAATAAAACAGCCAGTTACTCCACTTTGGACTTCTGCCTATACGAAATGATGCCCGCAAGTGCTGCCCCGATTCCAGCAGAAAGAGTGCCTGTCATTCCTGGACCATATATGCTAATCTCTTGCGTAACACCTGCTATCAAGGGGGTGATCATACGTGCTACTGAGGCTATGCTTTGGCCAAAACCGGTCACTGATCCCACCTGTAGGGCAAGAAAAAAAGAGACTTAAAAACTTGTAAATCTTAGGAAAAATAAATACTATAACAAATGATTTTTCATGTATCATCAAAAGACCTATCATCATGTTTTACTAAGTAAATTAAACATTGCCACACTTTACAATTGTTAATAATGAACATGACTAGATGAAAACGAGTGATTACAGGAAGTGGTTTTAAATTTTCAAAATTTTTAGTAGATTGAACATTATATAGTATTAAAGAACACCAGTTTTTATAATAACTATGATAGTTAAAAAAACAAAAATAACTAAATCATGTTTGAAGAAAAAATATTCCAAATATCCTTTGCCCTAAAGTTCAGAACAAAAGAGATGCACATAAATTCTCAATGCCATTACTTATTAACTTAAATGGAATAATACACTGGACCCTAAAAAGAGTACAAGCATTGAAATTTTCTCTATAAACAAAGAGAATATAATCTTTGATGTAGCATGTTATTAATGAGAAGATACTAAATGCCATAAAGCCCTTGCTTACTGTAAAGTCCAATATTTTAAATAAAGTACAGGCTAGCTGAAATTTAGAAGCTTTTCTGAAATTCTGCTTCTTAAAATTAATATAAAAAAAAAAAAAAAAAAAAAAAAAAAAAAAAAAAAAAAAATAGAAGAAATATATTTGATGTACATCCTACTGCATTAAAATGCTACATTCTAAAATGCAGAAATATGTTTTTCTGAATCTCCCAGCTACCTAAGACAGCCAAAAAAGAATTTCACAAAATACATTTTTCTATAGAAGAACTTATGCTAAAAGTGTAAATCCCTTCATTGTCACATTCTTATAAACCGTGTTTCACAGTAACATACTAGTCATCAAAATGTCTAATGTGAACACCTAATTTTAGTTTGCATCAACACCACTAAACCATACTATCCAGATTATGTGACCATCACATGAAAAAGTCTGACTTGAGGCTCAGGTGATGGGGGAACATGCCGTCATGAGAATTTGGGTTGAAGGCTTGAGTGACAGGAATGACTCGCTATGAGTGCACAAAGCTCTTGAAAGATGATGAGACTCAGTGGGTATTTAGGAAGGGTCTCTTGCATTATTTTGCAACAATAAACAAGGTGAGAATGTACCATCCATTAGCCATGATTGGAAGACCACCGGCTCCAGGAGGACACTAATTCTATGCTCAGGATTCTACTCCTACCCCCCCATGACTGGTGGTGCAGATTATATTATAGAAAACTAAATATTATTAAATAATATAAAATGTTATCATTTACTGCACTAAATTGTGGCCTACCTAGAGATCTGATATGGAGTCTATCACCATCTGGATACAGCATATCATATAACAAATACAGACATTGGAAAATGGCAAAAAAATGAAATATGCTTATGCAGAAAAAATGATAATAAGACTGCAAATTGGAGGCGAGGAGTCTCAGCATATTTGTCTGGTGTACAAGCCATATACCCATTAGAGCAGCCATTCAGATTCTGGGCAATGTGCGGGCAGAGACGCATCCCGATTCAAGGGGTTAATGGTTAAATTGATTTAAGCACAGAACTGCTAACAAGGCAGGCTCAGATGTGTGAGTACAATGCCGTAAGTTTCTAAATCTTTTAGAACATCTGCCACTGAATCTAACTATGGATTTAAACGGGGACATGCCTACATCAAAAGAAATTTTAAAAAGTAGAGGATCTAGACTTCAGATTTTCTGGATGCGCTGGGAATTTGTGTACCATTATAGCACTCGCAATGGAAAGCTGTACCTCATGATGTCATGACAGTTGTGCATTAAATATTCATAAGAGCCTAATTATTTATACTACTGAAGTGTGCTTTTCCACAAGAACATTCAAATGTTGTTTAAGTCAACATATAACCCCAGTTTTGTAAAATAAATAAAATGCCATAGAGCCCTTATGTACTGTTCATAAAATAAATGAAATACCATAGATACTCTGTTTACTGTTATATTTTCATCACAGGTCAATAAAAGAAAAATCCTCCTGTTTCTATTTTACATACTTTTAGATCAATTTTTCTTCATTTTTATGAATAAATACAGCATGGTAAAAGTAATCATACTATATTCTAGATTTCTTTTAGTGAATATTCACTGAGAGTTTTCTGAAAATTTTATACTCTGAGGTAGGCCAGTCAAGGTTTTAGAAGGAACATCACCTCAATTTCTTTCCTGATTCTGACCATATCCACACATTACTCATACAAATAATATAATAATGAATCACAACAATCATTTATTCATTTACATAAAAATGGTCACGAGTTGCTGATTTTGTCATGTCATTGATACCAGTGCTTTTTTCAAATTTTTCTACCTTTGCTGGCAAAGTAAATTATCTCACAGTTTGGGGTTTCTAGAGTGCAACTTTACTGGAATGGGTTTTTTCCAGCATCTATGACACTCCTCACCAATCAGAATAAGAACAAGTAAGACAGTGACAGGAGTAGTGGCATTACTCCTGGCTACCAGAAAGAACTTCAATATTTAGTGTAGCCAGCGCATGCTTTTGAATGGATTTCTGATTAAGCTCTCCCAAATGAACAAAAATAGTGTACTGCAGATGCATAAATACTGATGTTCAGCTACACTCCCTTCTGGGGGTTGTGCCCTCATCCCTTTGAACACTCAATAGTAGTAGATGGTGTTGATGTTTTGAGCCAAAATGATATTTTACTAGTGTTTTTAGAGGAATTTAGTATATAAATCTGTTTTGAAAATTGAGACTTTTTTCCAAGTCACAGAAGTTTGCCCCACTTTAAATATTGCTAATTAAGAAAAAATGTACTTAAATACATCCTCCAGAAAAAAATGGTAATGATATAAAAGATATGACTTCATATTCTCTTAACTTATTGGTTAATAACCATTCAATTCAATTCAATTTCAGTCACAAGAAGAATTAAGTTTCATAGTTTTTGATAACAAAAATGGAAGAGGTCACCTACCTTGTCAGGTTCACATCGCCCTATGGTGATGGCTGAGCTGCTGACCCTTATCACAGCAGAGCTAACGCACAGAGGTATGAGGCACGCTAGCAGTAATGTTAAAGATGGTGCTAAAGTTAGCCCCAGCAGAGCTAGTGTAAGAAGAACTGAGCTGTGGAAAAGTTCACGCTGAGAGTCCTGGTAGATTTTGGATACCTTGCCTGTAAAGAATCCTGCTACAGCACTGATGATGCCCTGTTAAAAAAAATAAATAAATAAATAAAATCATTAGCTGTAGGACTGTACAAAACTTTATTGATACATAATAATCATAGCTGCTTACCTTGACCTTTTTGTCACTTTAGCATAAGTGAAAATATTAATTATGATAATAATATGTACATGTTTTTACTGACGCTTCAACAGTCTTTCAAAAATTATAACTGCAGTGAATCTGAACTGTTCAAGTATATGAAAAACAAATTTGTGTATGCTTTTGAATATCTGTCAACCTTCGTCTTCACCTCAGACCCCACTCAGACTATGTTCATATATACTCTTTTCTCTTTTTAACTCATACAATCCAGATGACATCACATCATGAAAAAAAATGGCTTGAGGGGCAGGTGAAGTGAACATACCAACATGGAAAAATGTGGCTGAGGGCCAGGGGTGATGGAAATGTACTATCCATGAGCCATGACCGGAAGAGCACCGGCTCCAGGGAGGATACTATTCCTGCCTGGTGTAACCAGTAGTGAAGGTTGTATTACAGAAAATAAATATTGTAGAAAAAAAAAAAATAAATAAAAAAAAAATAAATAATATATATATATATATATATATATATATATATATAAATAATCATAGCTGCTTACCTTGACCTTTTTGTCACTTTAGCATAAGTGAAAATATTAATTATGATAATAATATGTACATGTTTTTACTGACGCTTCAACAGTCTTTCAAAAATTATAACTGCAGTGAATCTGAACTGTTCAATTATATGAAAAACAAATTTGTGTATGCTTTTGAATATCTGTCAACCTTCGTCTTCACCTCAGACCCCACTCAGACTATGTTCATATATACTCTTTTCTCTTTTTAACTCATACAATCCAGATGACATCACATCATGAAAAAAAAATGGCTTGAGGGGCAGGTGAAGTGAACATACCAACATGGAAAAATGTGGCTGAGGGCCAGGGGTGATGGAAATGTACTATCCTGAGCCATGACCGGAAGAGCACCCGGCTCCAGGGAGGATACTATTCCTGCCTGGTGTAACCAGTAGTGAAGGTTGTATTACAGAAAATTAAATATTGTAGAAAAAAAAAAAGATAAATAAAAAAAAATAAATAGATATATATATATATATATATATATATATATATATATACCTAGAGACATAGGAAAATGGCAAAAAGCAAAAATTACATGCAAAAAAGAGATAATAACATTGTAATGGGGAGGCAAGGAGTTTTGACAATACCCATGAGTGTTCATATGCACCCAGTCTACAAGCTACACACAAGTAAGTGGCCATTCAAGTAAGCCTAATTCTTAAATTTGGTGCCACGTGCAGTCAGCGAAGCATTTGGATTCAAGGGGTTAATTATTATTTGTATACTGTTCATCCTCTATCTGTGACAAGCAATTTCACACAAGTATATCATACTGAAAAACAAAAACACTAAGGTTTTCTTCAATCTAGTTCTAGATCTAGATGATTTAATACCACTGTAAAAGCAAACGAATCTCTGTGTGAAGTCATAAGTATAAGACAGTATCATATCTAACTAACCAAAAGGAAGAATTGGATCATTTCAAAATTAATAAGCCATAATGGTTGAGGGTATACTGAACAGACTTTATATTATATACAGAATAATTCAACAGATACCTAGACCTTTAAAACAGTTTCTTAAACTTGACATATGGTACTTGTTTACTGATAATACTACATGTGTCTGCAGGTTTTCCAATAGTTCAACATATTAACCCCACACTAACAGGTTAAGAGTAACCACAAAACACCTCATCCAAACTTGTTTTCCAGAAATCTGTATTTTCAATAAATTACCTAAAACTAATTGGTAATGATTATAAAAGACTAAAAATGTATGCACTGACACTGTGTAGGGATTGGAAGAGTAGAGATAAGTGAAGACTGTGTATTAAATATCACAGGACCCATCCACAGCAGTTAATAAATAAAAATATGGTTTTCCATCTTTAGTTTTCAGATACAAGCCTATTAGATGCCATAAATACAAGAAAATCTATTCAAAGGGTATACAAAATAACAATCAAAATTGCAAATATCGCATTAATGTTACAAGACACGAATATATTGTAGTAGTTAAAGACAGCATCTTTCACCCTGAATACAATGTCACAATCAACATCACTGCTACCAGAGCAATATATACATTCAACTATCAATAAAATATATAAACCATTACAAAAGACACTTCACTCACCTGGAAAGATATAAGGTAGCCTATAACTTTTGGGCTAGCTCCAAAATTCTGATCAATCAAAAGGGAAAAGTTTGATCTGTACACCAAGGACGAGAAGCTGAGGAAAAATCGTACGAGGAAAATATCCCCAAACACTTTCCAGTCGATGTCTTTCATAAATGAGAATGCCTGGAGGACTGTTTCACCTTCCGATATACCCTTAGATGACCGTGAGTGAGCTGGCTCAACGTTTGGGACAAACAACCAACACAATGCTGAAACACACAAAAAAAGCAATATACAAATCTATATTAAAATATAAACTAACAAATTCCTCTTTGGATAAATCATCAACTAAGCGCATAATTTATGGATATACAGATGTGGGTAGCAATAAAAAATATTCATATTTGTAAATTTAGACTATGACATGTTACCTGACAACTAATATTCTTTTCCTTTTTTTTTTTTTTTTTTAATTTAGTTATAGATGTCACAGACTTTAATTCACAGTACAAGACTGGAAAATGCAGAGGCTTAGGGTCTAATCCACTTGACTGAGTGACTTCATAATGAATGTCTCAGTCAACATTGTGGATCATCATCGTGTGACATGTCTCCATATATGCCAGTGACAATGAGTAACAATTATTTTACAGATTGGAATCTATTGTAACAGAAATTGAAAAAATCTAGAATGTAGCAATTTCCTTTGAATCAATTCAATATGTTAATTTCTTGTGATGGCATACTCTTCCTACTAACTTGTAAGATTGCTATCTCAGGATATAGATAGTATCTGCATGTTAAATAAATAAAAAATTCATCAGTATAGCAAAAAAATACAAAAAAACTGAAAACATGCATATTCTTTACACATACAAATAACATTATGGATGTATTCTATTATCAAAATACAATGGCACAACTCTTATTCCATGGCCACTGAAATTTTAGTTTGTGAATTTTGTTTGCGCACAGATAGCTCCACGAGAGCAGAGTAACCAAGAAGCCAATTAAAACTCCTATCTATCTCCCCTATTCCCTCTTCTCCTTGATTTCCAGATTTTTACTTCTATTTTTTACTGCTATTAATATTTTAGCCACTTTATAGTATTCCTAATTGGAAGAATAATAGCAACAGCATTGATGTTACTATTATCAGAAAGAAAAAAAAAAATCAAGAAATGAGGAAATCAGGTGAGGTAATGTAGGGCCTACTGATTGCCTCCTTGGTGGACACTAATTAGTAGAAAGAAGAGAGAAAGGTAGAACAAATATACATGTATGAAGATCTATATAGTTATAGTTCACATCACATTCACCATATGATCATGCTATTCAAGAAAATCAGATAAAAAAATGAAATGCATCTAAACAGTATCAATAGACTCTAAATATTTTTTTTTTGCTGGTCTCAAGAATTATGACTGTAATCATATATGTCTACCTATCTATCTGTCTATCTATCTATCTATTTATCTATCTAAATACTTCTTTTATATTCATTATCATTGTTATAGTTATTACCGTTACTATTATTAGTTTCATGTGCACTGCCTCAATACTTTAACCTTTTAATGGCTTTATTAACTCCTTTCACAACACAAACTATAAATCAAAGTTGGACTTATTTTTCAATAATTGGAAATTTACTTTTTTTCAACTAATTAACAATTATATAAAAACAAGAAAATAAGAAGCAAATAAAATAAAATAAATGAATAATTATACAAACAAACCATATAAGACAAAACAGAAAATCAATAAATACACATAAAAAAATAATAAATGGACGTCTGACCCATTGCTGCCGGGGAAAATGAATAAAAAATGGGGAAAATGCTGTGCTCATTTTTTATATCTTTTGGTGAAATGTTTCTACACATAGATGGCACGGCATGGCATGCCCGTCGGCAAAGGGTTAATAAAAAGCTGTCTCTGTTATTTCAAAACCTAATGGTTATGAAATTCCACTTACCAAAGTCCAGGATAAAGAACAATGCACCAATATTGCAGACAAGGGTAAATCCATTCTCAAGCTCAGAGAGGTGACCTGGAGGTAAAGTAAAAAATACAGTCAGTATCAGAGCCATTTTAAGTGAGCTCTGGTACTTGTCAGTCTTATTGCACAAATGGTAAACCATTACTGACATTTCCATTTCTACATGAGAGAAAATAATGTTACATAAGTATATACTCAAAACAAAAAAAAAAAAAAAAAAAAAAAAAAAAAAAAAAAAAAAAAAAAAAAAAAAAAAAAAAAAAAAAAAAAAAAAAAAAAAAAAAAAAAAAAAAAAAAAAAAAAAAAAAAAAAAAAAAAAAAAAAAAAAAAAAAAAAAAAAAAAAAAAAAAAAAAAAAAAAAAAAAAAAAAAAAAAAAAAAAAAAAAATGGAATACAAAAATGGGGGAAATTCCTGTGCTCATTTTTTATATCTTTGGTTGAAATGTTTTCTACACATAGATGGCTTACGCATGGGGCATGCCGTCGGCCAAAAGGGTTAAATAAAAAGCTGTCTCTGTATTTCAAAACCTATGGTTATGAAATGCCACTTACCAAAAAGGCAGGAGAAAAGACAATGCACCATTTGCAGAAATGGTAAATCCATTTCAAGTCGAGAGGTGACCTGGAAGGGGTAAAGTTAAAAAATACAGTCAGTATCAGAGCCATTTTAAGTGATGTCTGGTACTTGTCAGTCTTATTGCACAAATGGTAAACCATTACTGACATTTCCATTTCTACATGAGAGAAAATAATGTTACATAAGTATATACTCAAAAAAAACAACAACAAAATATGTATATGAATAGATTTCTTACTTAATTTTGAACATTTTGCATACACATGCACACATGAAAACACACAAG